AGCTGGTGGTTCGGGCGGGGGTTCTCCCTGCGTCTGGCGGCGGTGATCCCTAATAGGGGCTGGGTGCTAACACCGGGACATTGCCGGAGCCGTTCTGCTGAGGTTTAAGCCGACTGTGTTAAGAACGACTTTCTGTTTAAAGGAAGTCTCACAGAGTGGCTTTGGGGGGGGGGGAGAAGAATAAAGCTGAAGGAAGGTGGGTCCAGTATTTTAGATAGGCCTCACCTGGACTTTAAATCAACTGCGGTTAAACTACTGACCCATCGCTGGGTTTTGCTTCTTTTTTTCTACTTTCTTAGACAAATTAGGGTAGAAACTACTTTGGGAATGGAGTTCCTTTACGTATAGGAAGGCTCTCGGATAGTTTAGTCTCTAAGTCTGTGTAGACGCCAGGTTTTGCTTAAAATTGCGCTTGCAAAAGTTGACAAATATTTAAAAGTGGGTGTACGCATTCTGTTTTGGATCTCAATGTGATTTGCTCAGATATGTACAACCTGAAACTTTAAGGCCATTAGTTTAAAAAACAAACATACCACCGCCCTGATTTTAAATAGTCTTTGTCTAAACGGTCAAAGTCTTAGCAGAAATGAGTAACAAATAGCTATGTTTTAAAGAATAAGTCAGACATTGAAATTGTTCATTGAAATTGTCTGAATTACTCTTTTACGTTTATTTGGCAATTTCTGCATGATGGGATGCATTAATCGTGAAAATGCTGCCTTCTCTTTTCACCAAAAAGTTGACCACGTGTTTTCGTTAGAAAAAGACTAATAGCGTGGTTTAGTAGCACACCTGTTTGCTAATTGGCTGGAAGATCAGGAAAAGGAGGTTGCATTCTCAGTCCGAGCTGTCGTTTTGCAAATACTTAGTGCTCAAGCAGACTTTCTGTTTTTCCACTAGGAACAGGCGTATTCCCCTGCCCCGGCACTTGGCGCAGCACGTGGGGCAGCAGCAGAGGAGCTTCTCTTTTCTGTTTCTCATGATGTGATAGCAGCAGAACT